AGGCAAGATAAAACCAGATGGCGCAAAGTTCACATACCTTGTTCTTGGGGGGTAGGGGGCCTTTTATAACCACCTCGTGCACTCACTTCTAATCTTCTGTCAAGTCGGGTATGATTACCTCTGGGCTCCTGCCAGTTCGGGTGTCATCCCCTCTGCTGGACAGAACCGCCACTGCTCCCTTTTGTCGGAGCCGTCTCTGCGACTGGCGATGACGGTGGCAGGTGATTGTTGAAGTGTGGCTGTCAAGCGTCAGATCCCAAGTTAGTCAGGTGCGCCGCCCTTGGATACGGACCTCCTCAGCGTCAGGTATGGTACGTTTGTTCAGTTCGGCATCCCGGAGGCGAAGTGCTGGAGTGGCGAGCGAGGTGAAGTCTTGAGTTCGGATAGAGGAGTGTCTCGAACTGCCATGAGGCGGGCCAGTTCGGGTCATTGCCTTGTGTGGCTGGGGCCTAAGGGAGAGTTCGGGCTCCTCGTAAGGAGTTCGGGCTCTTAGTAGGGAGATCGGGCTCCTCGTAAGGAGTTCAGGCTCCTAGTAGGGAGTTCGGGCTCCTCGTAGGGATTGCTGGTGGGGAGTTCGGGCTCCTTGTAGGGAGATCGGACTGCTGGTTTTCCTCCCTTTGGTGCTCGCGCCCTGGGCGTGCTGTTGTGCCAAGCAGTTTGCCTTTGCCACGTGTTGAGTGATTACGAGGTCGGGCCAAATCTTCCTTCATCAATTACTATTATTCATATTACTATTAACGAATATTAATATTATTATTAATTAATTATTACATATTACTTAATAATTTGTTATTCATTAATGATTAATACTAATTAATCATTGTTAAGTATTAATTGTTAATACTCAATAATAATATTAGATAGTATTATACAGTTATTAATAATATTAATAATCAATAATGCATAAATTAACAACAATTGAAATTAATTAATAATAAAATTATTTAATATGAATAATTTTAAACAATAATTAATAATATTAGTAATTTATAATAATAAGTTAATAAATAATAATAATTTATTAATAATAATTAGAATAATTAATTAATTAAGTAATAGAAGTGACACAAATAATTAATTAACAATTAATAATAAATTGAATATGAATTAATCATAATTAGTAATAATAATTAGTAATTAGTAATTAGTAATAATAATTTTTAATAATTAATTAGTAATAATAATGAATTAATAAGAACAATTATTATTAATTATTAATGAATTAGTATTCATTATTAATTATTAATCATGATACTAATTTTTAATATTACTTTTTATTGAATTATATAAACAAAAAATTTTTAAATAAAAGTTAAAATGAACATTTGACAAATTTTAGAATTTAAAACAATATTCTCCACATTTAAAATTTAAAGAAAAGAATAATTCACCAAACAATATCTCTTAAATATAATTATTATACTTTTTAGATATCAGACTTTAAACCAAACAAACAGACCTAACTCAAGTTACTTAATGATTTGGCTTGGAATAGTTTAACCTATAACTTATCTGCTCCGACTAAAAATCTCCAATCAAGTTTATATTAAGAATTTCAAACCGGAATACTGGATGACAACTTATTCCAACTATCGCAAAAGCCAACAAATCAAATTATTAATATATGCCACATCGATCAATTGCACGTGATTTTTTTTTCTTTTTGGAAAAGTACAATCAAACGGATAACCAATGACCAAGTGGTGCAAGTTTCCATTCCCATCAGAGCCCAGCTGAAAGCTGTGGAATACTTAATTAATGCCGGCAAAAGTTGGGAACACGGTGACGGCGTCCATGAACTCCGCGTCATCTCCCAGCACCATCAACGTCTGGGGCGAAAGGCAGGCTTCAACATCGACGCTCCCTTCACTCCTCCCTTGAAAAACCGTAATCTTCCCATCAAACTTGTTTCCACAGCCACTGCGCACCGCCAGAGGCCTTCCCCACCCTAGATCATTACCATACACATTGAACCTCGGCGAGCTCCCCGTCAATAAAAGATTATTATATACTATACTATCCATGGAAACAAACTTAGGCTGCTTCGTCTGAGATTCTACCAAACTCTTCTCTGCTGTTGGATCATTGTGCGACGCAACGACCTGGTTCAACAGCCAGGCCGCCCACCCCAGACCTCGATCTAGCAGCTCCCCTACCTTTGCCGTTGCCGTCCCTCCCTCCACAAAGCAACCAAAGTGTTCATCAGGCAAGGGCGGTTTCAACCTAGACCGTTTACCTATAATCAACCAATAACAGATCTCTTGGTCGGAGTCGAGGCCTCGGGCACGGGCCACAGATCGCCAAATATGAGCCAATATTGCTTGCAGAGAGGATATCCTGTCCGTCCCGCATTCAGTATTGGCCTTCGCTTTGAGACTTGCGATCTTTTCTTTGGTAAATTGAAACACTCTCTCTTCCAGTGGTGGTGGGGTATATCTCACCGAGAACTTTTCCTTGTTAGAGATGGAAAAGCGGACGGGACAATTTGTACCAGTAGGAAACCAACGTTGGAGAACTGGAGGACGCGAGATACGATCAGCACCCCTACAGATCTCAGACCAGGAATTGAAGAAATGCCAGAACGATGTGCCGTCGGCAACCACGTGGTTAACGGTGCATGCTACGAATATGCCGTCGGTTAATTCCGTCACCTGCACGGCGAGCAAAGGTTTGGTGATGCCTTCAAAGTTGACCACTCCGTTGAGGGGGAAGAAAGAGTAAACGACTCGAGGTGTGTATGGTGGGTCGAGGATGTCGGCTACGGTGAAGTCGGCACTGGCGTGAATGAACTCTGCTCCCGCATCATTGCAGTCGATGAAGACAGACATGGTGTCATCGTCGTGCGACGTAGTTGCCAAGCGGCCAGCCAGTGGAACAAAGAAATCCAGAGTGCGAGAGAGAGAAGTTTTAAGCAGATTGATCACTTCGTTTTCCTCTTCTTTGCCTGGTCGGAACGTGGGTTTGAGATAAAGAAGACCCTTTTGGATGTAATGGACGGGAAGAAATCGGAGATCCCATTGATTCAACTCGATCCTCTGAATTGATTCGTGGGGATTCGCTGGTTGAACCGTGCATTTGGAGATGAAGCGAACCCTTCCCATCTTCTGTCTCTGCAAACTCTTCTATCCTCTGCTTTCTGCGAACTTTTCTTCGGGTTCTAGCAGGTGATAGGAATCATAGCAAACGGTATGGGCAGCGGTGCTCTTAGAATGGTGCTCTTAAAATAAGAAATAAAGACGTTATGGTCAGAGCAAACGGTAAAACTTCCGTTAAATTATTATATTTTTATTTTTAAAATTAAAAAATGGTAAAAGTGAAAAAGAGAGAGGGACCCAAGAGGTTATCTTGAAACAATATATGTAGCTTGCCGTCTGTGCTTAAATAATATATGTATTTTCATGTTGCATAAAACTACAAGTGGTTCTCTTGAAATATGAAGCCTAAGATCTCTTAGAATCCAAAAGTGAAGTTCAGGGAAAATGGTATTGCTTCAACAAATTCCATATATATAACGATGATTGCATCATCTTCTCTCCAAACAAACACGAAGGACTGCATACCTCTTACATGATTATCAACACCAAGGGAAAGTAAAATCAGAACCAAATCCTTTATTATCATGGTGTGATGTTAGAAGACCGAACATCTCAGTCGTTCGATTCCTGACTACAAGTTGCAGAGCACATTCTGAAATGTCGGGAATTCATGTTTTAAATCTTACAATCCATATATATATGTATATATATATTTTTTTTTTGCATTATTTTCTTCATTCATATTTCTTATACTGCTAATAGACAGAGAGTTTGGCCATTCGCTTCCTCGATTACAATTGCAGCAACTTTGTTCTTGTCGTTTTTGGATTGGTGAAGAAGAAGACATGTGACTCATTATTGAACCTTTTGAAATTTAAAGAAGATTGAATCCCGGTATATATTTAAGAGTTCCACTATAAAGATTCAGGGAACTAAACAAGTAGATTTTCCACCCCCAGCTTAGGCTTGGGAGAAAAAAAGGTCTTCTGTAAGCCATTAATGGTGGATAACATTATGCTTTGACGGTGTTTTTATTTGTAATCTGAAGTCAGGAAGTCTGAATAGACTTGATGGTTTTCTCCATTTATCTTTTTTTTTTTTTTAACTTTTTTAGAGGTTTAAAAAGTAAAGGGTAAATTTCTTAAACTACCTAAATTGACTAAGTGTACCTTTAATGTTTGAAAATTGATTAATGTTGTCATAAACTGCTCGTATGTGCCATCACATGATTGTTATGACTTCAAAAATACTCAGTTTACCTTTTTATGTTTGAAAATACTCTTTTCGTTTTGGAGAGACGATTTTGATATGGGCTCGAAGCTGGTTATCTCTGGCACCGGCATCTGCATCAATGTATAAACATGAGAAGGAATGAAACGAGAGAACATTTCTCTCTCTCTCTCTTTGTGTCTGTGCCTGGTATGCTGCCTTTTCTCTTCTCTTGGAAGACCCTACGGGACTGACTGGTTTGTAAGAAGAGAAGGAACCATGGAGGAGAAAGACTCATCCGACACAACCCCCCACTCCAATGGCAAGCTATGAGCAGGCGGCAAGTTTACTTTAAGTGTAGCAAGAGTCCTATTTGTTAGTAATTTGTCACTATTGCATCACAACTTAGAATTGTGAGTGATTCTAAGTCCACTTTAAACCTAATAATTGGGAGTGAAAATGGGAGATACATGATTGATTAAAACAGGACTCCTGGAAAGCCATTTGATGTGGCCAAGGATGGATGAAAATAGAGGAATTTGATTGGTCAGATGGAAAAAATGTGGAATTAAAAATAAAAAATTCAAAAAAAGGAGTAAATTTATTGACCACTTCGTTTTAATATATATATATATATATATATATGTATAGATTATTCTCCAAATTATCTCTAATAAACTTTAAAATATTTATTAAAAACACAAAAAATAATTATAATACATTTAATAATATTCATATTATTAATAGTTTAAAATTTTTACAAAATTCATCATGAAATTCTGTACTAACATTATAAATTATGATTTTGCAGATTATTCAAATTAAATACTATTAAAATATTATTTCAATAATATTAAAATCTTAAATTCAAATAATGAATAATTTAAATATTTTATATACTATTTAAAATTTTAAATAATGAAATAACGAAATTATGCAATAAAACAAAAAAATTTTAAAATAAAAATGATAACATAACATTCAAATTAATAATAATTTAATATTTATACAAAATTAATAATGAAATTATGTAATAATAGTATAAACTTTAAAATATTTATTCAAAACACAAAAAATAATTACAATAGATTTAATAATATTCATATTATTAATAGTTGTATATTTGTAGAAACTTCATCAAAAAATTATGTGCTAACAATATAAATTATCATTTTCCACATTATTCAAATTAAATGTTATTAAAATAATAGAAATTTAACATTAAAATAATAAAATCCTAATTCAATATTTCAATAACTGCATATCTTAAATAATAAAATACTAAAAATAGCTAAATAATTATATAGTAAAATATTTAATTATTTAAATATTTCAATAACTAAATATCTTAAATTCAAATAATGTTTATTTTTAAATATTATATATTATTTAAATACTTAAATAACTAAATATTTAAAATAACGAAATATATAACATAAATATATTTTAAATATTTAAAATAACGATATTATGCAATAAAATGGAAAATCTTAAAATAAAAAATCATAACAAAATATTAAAATTAATAATAATTTAACATTTTTACAAAATTAATAATGAAATTATGTAATAATAGAATAAATTATAATTTTATAGATTGTTAAATTCAATAAATAATTAAAATTATAGAATTTAAATAAGGATATTGTTTACATAACTAAATAATATTTCAAATAACCAATTTCACTTACATCAATTAATAATTCTTGAAAATTAACTTTGAAAAAAATAACATTCATTAATAATTATTTTAAAATCTTAATCCATATTGATTATATATTTTCAATAATTATGTATAAATCTATATTTGTTTTGTTATTTAAAGAAATTTTTTAATATTTATCTTTTTAAATTGAATTTGTTATACTATTGTATTGTTATACTAATATTTATCTTTTTAAATTGAATTTTTTATACTAATATTTATCTTTTTAAATTGAATTTGTTATACTAATATTTATCTTTTTAAATTGAATTTGTTATACTATTGTATTCATTGTATTTTTGTTGTACTTTATACATTGATATTTATTAGAAATTAAACTATTATTTGAGATTACAATATTTATTGACTAGCTTAATATATTTTTTAGTATTTTTGTATTTTTGTAATTATTCTAATTATTTTATTTTTATTAGTTATTTATTTTATTTTTGTTATCAATATATTTTCAATAATTGCGTATTTTTGCTATAAAATTTTAATAATGATTGAAAATTAAACTACTTTTATTTATTAGATTAAAATATTAATTTAGATGAAATTAGGGGTGTTGATCACAGCCTAGTTTAGTTTAATTGTAGGCTATTTGGCCAACCAAATCGACATGGTCAAGTTGAGGAGTTGGTTACTCGGAATCTACTAACCATTAGTGAAAACCAACTAAATCAAGTTGTATTGGTTTGGATTGATTTTCGATTTGCTCATTTTTTTTAAATAGTTAAAATAAAGAAATTATGTAATAAATTTAAAAAATCTAAAGAGTAGAAAAGTAATTATAACATAATATTGATATTAATAATAATTTAATATTTTTACATAATATTGTAAATACTAATTGTACTTATATCAAGTAATAATTCAAGAAAATAACTTTCAAAAAAATTAATATTTATTAATAATAATTTTAAACTCTTAATTTGTATTTATGATATAATTATATATACTAAAATTAATATTTATTGTATTTCAGTAATTATTTATTATATTTTGTGATATATGTATTTTCAATGATTACATATAAATTTATTTTGTTTTGTTATTTAACAGAAAACTTTCAATAACTATTGGAGATTAAACTACTATTATTGAAATTTTTAAATTTAATTTATTGTACTTATTGTATTTGTTGTCAAGGTTTTTAAAACTGAACTAGATAATGGGACGGTTAGAAGTTTGGTTCCCTAATTGAACGGTCTTACCATTCGAACCAAACAGACGACCCGTCTTACCATTCGAACCAACATTTTTGGGCAAATTAACGGTTTGGGGCAAAACAGAACCGATCACCTAACCGATTCCTAGTTTTTCGGCTCGATCGTCCAGTCCAGTTCAACTTTGTAAACCATGTTTATTGTATTTTGTTATAACTTATTAATTAATATTTATTAGAGATTAAACTATTATTTGAGATTATACTATTTACTGACTAAGTTATTATATTTTTAGTACTTATTGTATTTTTGTAATTATTGTATTTTCATTATCAATATATTTCCAATAATTGTGTATTTTTGCTATAAATTTTGAATAATTATTGGATATTAAACTGTTGTTATTATCAGAGATGAGACTATTAATTTAGTTGAAATTATGAGTGTATATGAGTTGGTTCAGTTCGGTTGTAGTCTATTTGGCCAACCAAATGACCTGGTTAGGTTGGGGATGAGAGTTGGTTAACTGAAACCGACTGACCTTTTGTAAAAACCGACCCACTCAAGTTGTATCAGTTTGGGTCGATTTTTGGTTTGGTTAGTCAGTTCAAAAGATTTAAACTTAAAAAATAAATTTATTTTTAAAATTATAGTACAATTATTAAAAAAATAAATTTAAAAATTAGATTTATGATATAAAACATTTTAGATTAAGAAATATGAGAAATTTCTCACTTTTCCATATTAAGAATTATATTTAAAATATAAAACATTAATATATATCCATGGTTAGGTCATTCAATTTTGGTCGATTTACAAATTGCTAAAGTGAAACTGATCCAGCTTGGTCCAATTAGGAAATTTTTTAACTAAAGCCAACCTAAAATACTAGAAAACTGACCAACTCGAGTTGAGTTGATCGGATTAGTCAATTTCATTAGTTTGATGAATAAACCTAACTGAAATTAATTATTGTTATTTTTGTATTATAAAAAAAATTTTAAAAGTAATATAGAAAACATGAATAATTATTAATTATTTAAAAATTTGAAAATATAAAACAATTGTATAATCTTACGTGTTTCTATTAGGGTCATTTACTAGAAAACAAAATTGACCAAATATAGCCAGTAGCCAATAGAGTAATTGCCTAT